AGCTTCTGATTGGTTATTCATATCATGTATAAAAGTAAGTGTATATAAGGGAGCATTTCCAAAAATGGAAATAAGTGGGCTGGGTGCCACTGTGTTTGATTTATTACATGAGCAATATCTTAGCAAACTGAAAAGATAATAGGCTCTTATTTTACATTATAGCTTGTCAATATCGGTAATTTGAGTTTTTAATTCTTTCAAAACTAAAGACTTAGTATTTTGACTTCACAAACATTTAATTTGAACCAGTGCTGCATTCAACATACCACGTGACACACAAAAATCGATCTGTTTTTTTTTTATTTTCTCTTAAATGAATAAATTGAGTAATACACAGTACTAATTTGAATTATAATCTACAGTTTGATACCAAACATATTGACATAAATTCATGAAATAGTAGTTAAATAAAATTTTGAATGCGAGTCAACAAACGAGATGATATGGCCTTTCACCTATGACTCGTTTCGAAAGGGTTAATATTGGTTGCAATTTCATAGATATTTTTGATAGATTATTTGATAAGTGTAGACATTTATGTGGCAGAATTGGTGAAAAGTTCATGCAGTAATATCTTTAGTAAGTTGTTGCTGATTATAGAGTAAGTCATGGAAAAGGTGTGTAGGTTCTTAGTGGTAAAATTGGTGATTAATATTAAGTTTTCTGGAGATAGGTTATTAATTAGAATTTATTATTTTAGAGAAATTTTTTTGTAGAAATATTCATATTTTTGAAAACTGATAATCTTATATTAGTATTAAAATCACTTAACAACTTGTATATGCTGATAATGATATGAATTCAATTATACTGTTAAAAGATCTCAGGTTAATTCTTGTAAGTTGGTACTGCTGAGATACAAGCAACTAAAATAGCTGAAGTATTCAGAAATATATGTAGAGTGGTCTTGGTATTCACATAACCTCTAGAGTTAACAAAATGGGTTTCATTTCAGGCTTACTTGGGTCCAAATTTCAGCACTTTTCTACAGGTTAAAATTTTTCTATTATAGTGTACCAAAAGAGGAAATTTTTAGCTGTGATATAGCGGCTCATAAAATGACTGAGTTTTATTTCAAGTACAAAATTTAGCTCATAGCTCTGCCATCTCTTGACCAATTTGAGATATAATTACAGTTTTGGACTCGGGAGGTCAAACCCTTTTGATTGATGTATTTGACCATGCCCAAGATCTCTTAGATTAATTTACTCTAATCTTCCCTAAAAGTATTTCAATATGAGGGTAGGCTGGTAGAGATCCTGATAAGTAATAAAATTGAATCAGATATATGCGTGCCCCACACTTGGTATTGCTGGCAAATAAAAATGTAGCTAATGAAAAGGAAAAAAAAGGTTACATAGATTACTTTACACTAATCCTGCCTAAAAGAATTTCAAGTGCCACAGCTATTGAGGATTCATACTACATATAACAATAGTCTAAAAATGTATTGAAAATCAGTAGTAAAGAACAAAATTTTATGTGTTGCTTGATATATCATAGAAACTGAAATAACACTTCAACTGTCTCATAATTAAGGTTTGCTACACCTTATATAGGGCTGTCAGCATTTGTTTCTTCTGTGAAGGGTAAAAACTTCATATGTGACTAGATCATGCATGAAAAAATGTAATCTCTGTGATGAGCTTATTATCAATATTGGACAACAGTCAATAGTTTGTTAGCTTAACGTAAATCACAAGTAGATGTGCTTGTAAAATAAGTTTTTACACTTACATCTGTAAGTTTCAACATTAGCAATTTTTTTTAACTTAAGTTTTATTAAATCTATTGAAATATAGGTACTACTTCTAAATCAAGTTAGCTGGCTCTTATTTTAATGGTCCACGTGACCAGTTTCTCTAAATGAGTATAACTGAGACAGTAACAAAGGGCATCAAATTAAATTAATTCAGTTCATAAAATGCACCGTTAATTGATAATGTCACAAATATGGCAAGAAAAATGAAAGCTTAAATTAGTTGTTGAAGATTGTCAAACTCATTCCAAAAGTCAATTTGTCTAGACTCGTCCATTTTGTTTTTAATTTACTTTTCAAAATTCATTCTCAGAGAGGGTATTTGGAAACTGTAAATTTTTTGAACTAATTTACTTTCAATAGTCTTTAATAAGAAAAATATATTTAAAAATTACCATTTTACACAGTTTAAAAATATGGAAAATAACAGCATCATCTCTTTCACTAGAGGTATTATGTCAGATCATTCTGAATGTTAAATATTAATAATTTAATTAGAAAATACAATTGTAATCTTTTCCAGTAATTTTGTGCTAGAAAATACTCTTAGAAATTATATTAAAATATTATATAAGCATTATATACTTAATTTTATAAATATTCAGAAAATATGTAATATGCATTATATTGATGCTTATCAATAAACATTGTAGAATTACAAAGAAAGTTACATTTCTCAAGTTTCTAGAGGAGATTTGTCTGAGCTATGATTTTTGGTTTAATGCATATGCATAAACTTCCTACAGATAGTCTTGATAAAAGAATTTCTTAGGTTTCAAAATAGATATGGTCTATTGCTAAAAAATCCATCGTAAGTTGTTATCAAATTGCAGAATTTATGTATTTTTTTATCAAGTTATATAAAAATTGCTTCAGTGGCCAAAAATGTAACAACGATATGTATATTAATGGATATAAAACAAGTCAAAATTTAATAAATAACTAAAAGGGGGGGGGGGTTATATATCTATCATATTTTTTATATTATGTAGGCCAGTGGTCATGTGTAAGGTTTGGTGAGTTTCACATAATATTGTAAGAATAAAAACAGAAAAACTATTTATTTTTATTCAAGAAAAACTATTGGATATGCTTACAAGATTTTACTCTAGTAAGCATTAATAAAGTTAATAGGAATCTAAGATAAAATGAAGTTTTATGTTTTATAAACTGTATTTTATAATGAAATTTCAGAAGTCAGAAACTGATACAAGTGCTAAACCAAATTATGTATATTTTTTACACATTTTGTTTTAGAAAGTTTACCATGTTTCATACAGTTTTATTCAGTATTTATTTTTTTATTTTTCAATTACTGATTGAATCAGTTTGAGCTCATTGCTAAGTTTACCATATTTTTCGATGTATAAGGTGCACTTTTTTATCCCAGAATTTGATGTCAAAATCTGCTTGCGTCCTATACACCGAAGGTATGAATAATATATATGTATATATATAATATACACAAGCCATGTGTAAATATATTTAAATAGGCATGCATAGTTTAGTTCAATTGAATGTGTTATTTATAACAATAGTAGTATAGGACGCACTTTTTTTTTACCCCAAAATTTGATGTCA